TATGCTTGGAGCTAAAGAAAAAAACACAGTCAGAGGGATGCTGCTGCAGTCCTGCCAGCAGCTCGCTTACACAGTGGGAAATGAACTGGCATGAATATTGTATTTGTCCTGGTGTTCAGAGTGTGATGGCCTGTGTGTGTGGGCAGCTCCTCCACAGGGTGAGAATATCATCAGGGACACACTGGCACCACTTTCCATTTGGCAGCGACACCAAGCCGCCTTGGACTCTGAAAGAGCCACAAGTATAAAAATGTCTTCTTCATAATTACAACAAATGCAGCTTTCTACAATTCAACATATGTTTACTGCTTAAAAAAAAGAAAATCACATTCAGTCTTCTGAATGGGTCATTCATGGTGTGCTTCATCCTTTTGTGCCTAATGTCGAGGAAATTGAGGAAGAGCAGACAGGATTCCAATTTACCCACGATGCAGGGTGAGAGTACTGCAGGAGGCTGATAGCAGGTTGCAGATTTCATGACGGCTTATTTAGAGATTTCTTTTCAATTTAGAAATCAGGAGCAAGCTGGAAAGAAGTCAAAACACTCTTTAAAGGCAAATTTGTGTGCAGCACTTCGAAAAACTTAACCGCCCACCTGTCCTTGCCAATAAGCTTTGGCTTGGTCTACATGATTTGATTGAAGTTTAACAGAGAAACAAAGTTTATTGAAATTCAACGCACAGGTATCGAGGAGTCATTAGACATTTTAAGAGCAAAAAGTTCAAGAGGATTCGGGCAGGGAAGTGCCAGCAGGGGAAGTCGGCGGTCTTTCAAGGTACAGCTGGGTGATAAAAGAATCTTTAAACAAGAGTGATGTAAAAATGAATGCCCTTATAGATGTCTAACTTTGGAATTATTTCCCCCAGTAGCTGGAGATACTGCAGATTTTAACAACATGTCCATGCTCTTGTTCTTGTCCTCTTGCACAACACTGTTTGACCTTCTGGTTCTGTCCAGTCCTCCTCTGGAAAAGAGGAGTAAACGAAGTAAACTGAGAGGCGATGGATGAGACAGTGGAAGGGAATTTAACTTTGAGAAAAAATTGAGATTTTCAGGCAGGATGTACTCATTAATACCAGTTTTTCATTATGATTTCCGCATGTAAAAAAGCTGTTACTATGGCGCTGGTTGCTTCCTGAACCCCTCCACAATACAGGAATATATTAATATAGTATATGATATCTGTGTTGTATAAAATAACACTTTTTGTTTGGGTCTTCAGGAAGATATTTGGTGTTTAACTTTGGACCAGGTGGGTTAATTATGTAAGGCCCATACAGACAGATTTTGTGGAGGTGACCAACCATGCACCCTGCCATGCCCTCTTATCTCAAGTCTCTTTAACTCCTGTTTTACTTTTCCTCTGCTCGACTCTGAGTGATACGTTTTAATTACTCCTATGTAAACACTTAATCTACCTCAATAGTCTAATTATTCTTGAAAAAAAAAAGAACCGCAGAAAAAAAGGAAGCTGTGTTTTGTCACAGAGCTGTGTGGAATAAACTGCCGTCCAAAATAAAAGGAAAGAATAAAAAGAAAAGGAGGAAAGAAAGAAAGAAGGGATTAGCAGCTCAGTTTTTAGAGCATCCTGACTTCTCGTGTCCACTGAAGAACAGGGAGAGATGCTGACTTTAACCCTGATGAATATATTGAGGATGCTTTTTTTAAAGATTTATTTAGGGGCCTTTTCTGCCGTCAATAGAGAGACAGGTCAGTGGATGGATAATCAGAGGGAGAGGGAGAGGGAGAGAGAGAGAGAGAGAGAGAGAGAGAGAGAGAGGGGAATAACATGCAGCAAAAGAGCCACAGGTCGGAGTCAAACCCAGGCTGTCTGCTTTGAGGACTGGTAGCCTCTGTACATGGGGCACACAAACCAACCACTAAACCCATCGGCGCCACATATCAAGGATTATTTTTATGTTTTTTGTATTCATGACTTTGTTGTTGACACAATAAACAAACAAACTTTGTTCAGACGTCTGTGTCCGATCTTTAAGCAGTTTTTTTCGGGCACTTATCGTAAACATTATTCAGTGTTTTTAAATGATCCCTCCTGCTTGTGGTAAATGTTTCTCTGGACCAAAGTCCACTTAGTAAATGTGTAATCCGAAAATGTTTCTGCTGTTTGTTATTCACTGGTTAGAATACAGAAAAACTGCCTTCAAAATGTGTGAGAACAACTTTAGTTTACATAACTGGATACTTTTAAAAAAAAACTGGCAGCATTGTGCGAATTAAATATTTAATATGATTTCATCAATATTGATCAATGGAACAATAATTTAAACAATAAAGCTTGGTTCAAATGGCACCTTTTTTAAAAACAGGTTACAAGTTCAAGTTACATGTTCTAACAACAAGTAAAAAGAAGTTAAAATACTGATGACAATAACAATTATAATATATTTTTATAGTTACTGTGTCTTTCTTCATCTCCCTCTCTCCCATTGTTGCTAACATTAATATATTAATATTAGACTGATCTCTCTATGATCATAGTTAGCTGTTACTGCTAATACTACACATGCCTTTACCATTATAACATTGTAGCTACAAATTTGATTTCATTGTTGTTGTTGATCTGTTTGTCGCTATCCTTCTTCGTCTCTGTTCATCATGAGTCTGGTGCTCGAGGTTTCTGCGTCTTTAAAGAAAGTTTTTCCTTGCCTCTGTCACTTTGCTAAATGTTGCATAGTGCTCCTGATGGATAAACGTTAGGTCTTTATAAATAATATAGTAAAGTACGGTCTAGACCCGTAAAGTGTCTCTGGATGCCGTTTGTCATGAATTGATGCTATACAAAGAGCGATTGGAGGATTGGTTAAATAATAATAGATTGTTTGGTGATGTAAGTGGGGAATATATATACATATATATATATATATATATATATATATATATATATATATATATATATATATATATATATAGTATATATGTCGCCCAGATACAAAAATACCTCCAGCTTTTGTTTGAAATAGAATCGACTCAATGACATCAAATGACTGACGCTCACTTTCTGTTTCAGTCGTTCAGACGTCAAGCGATTGTGTGAAAGTACCTGCAAGATGGAGGCAGCGTCACCTTTATTTTAAACGACCTGCTGCAGTGCTGTAGTGAGCTCGTGAATTGGGTTTTAAATTGGAATTCATTTGAATTTTAAAACAGTTTTTTGTCTACAGGTGTGCAGACTATTTTTCTGTGAATCGTCCTCTTTTCATTTGAGCGTAGAGAATTAATCAGCGTCTGTCTGCAGGAGAAGTCATGGCACCCCGAATTACACTCAGCTTTGTAATTAAAGACAATACAAGCATGACAGCTGATACTGTATATGAATTCTTCACTGACAATGGCGCCTTAAATGAGCTCGTCTCATACACACACACACACACACACACACACACACACACACACACACACACACACAGTCAGAGTGCTGCTGTTGTAGCACTAAAAATACTCATTTTAATTAAACCTCTCTTCTGTATGCAGGTTGAATATTCCAGGCATGAAGACATAAAGCACATGACTTTGCTTTTCATTTCGATACAGTACATTACATCAAGCACAGGATTTACAAGTATTAGTAAATTATCAAACACAAAGTAATACCCAATTTGTATTTGTCCTTTAAAGCAACAATTTATATGTTGACCAACTTGTTAATTCAAATAGTAGAGTTAGTAGAGTTATAGTATTTTGTTATAATGCTGCCTTCATGTGCTACACAGAACTGTCGTACTTATCAGTTGTTCAGTCGTCATGATAACATACAAGCTGTTGGCAGGAAAAAGCACCGAACATAAACAGTAGAAGTTTTGTGGCTGATGTTTAATCAGCTAAAGAAAGTAGCCCAGAGCTCCTTTGTGCTTCAGCGGCAGAATGAACAACGTCAACAAGCATATGTTATCAATGTTAATATACTTGCATGCATTATAGTTAAAAGTGTGCTTGCTTGCAACAGCTAACAGATTCATATAATATATGCTGCAACTACTAAAAATAAGTGATAGCCATTATGAACAAAAAAAAGAAATACATATTTTGTAATCGTCAATTGTTGACACCGTTTTTCGACCTTTCTGCAATTTTTTGCTGCCCTGACACGTCACAACTAACATCTTCGGTATTATTGTAATAACAACTTTGGAGGGCTGTTCATGCGCTCAAAACTCGTAAATATGGTACATAAGATATTCCCTAGGACATGAATACAGCTTAGTAAGATTATCCCAACACTGCACACACACAGTCTTTTTACTGATCCAACATGCCTTATCTGTTGTTTTCTTAACAAGACTTTCAATCTATTTCCCCTCCTGAATAAACAGCTTTTATCTCCAGCTGACAGTTTATACTCTCTGTAACGCTGGACTAAAGACCATTCAGTTCCCAAACCCTCCCGAGTTTCCTGAAATCTTAAACCATTCTCTATTTCTATGTCCATCCTTGACTCCCTAAGCACTACATCACTTCAGGCTCGTAAACCGTGCAACATGTGATTTAAAATGGAGCAGAAAGTCATAAGTCAGAGTCACAACCTTTGCAAGCACCTATTACACACAGCTAGACCTCATAAAAATAATGTCTCTGAGTAATAAGTCAAACATCCTGCAGCCATTGTGGTGGACAAAAAGAGTTTAGACAGAGAAAACACAGTTTGTCTTTCTCCTGAAGAAATAAAAGACAGCCTCATATAATATGATACATAATATTATTTGCATGCTGCTATGGCAACACTGTCCCTGATAGGTTGTTTTGCATGGCTGTCAAGCTAGTAAGGGTGCGGGCCTTCCTGCCTGGTCATATGCCCCTGAAATCTAACAGCTTGATACTTAGTGTGACATCTTGATGGGTACAATCACTTCTTCAAAGTCCACAGTCACACTCAGTTCAAAAAGTAAAACTCAGATTCAGCATTGTTGCACCATTACAACAACAGAGAGTCAAAAAAACAAGAAGAAGAACGTAACCACAGTGACAGATGGACATGGACTCACCATATTTATTGATGACACTGGTCCGATGCTGTTCACAAATATGTCCACGTCTATGACTGTTGGCTTAACTGTGGGAATATAAAGAAAGAAAAAACAGTTATTGATCAGACTTTAGGCCGGTTACCTGCCTCTTTTGTGAATCGAAGTGGGGAAAGTGAAGGTGGATCAATGAGACTTTGTTGTTCTGAATCCTTTGAAGAGAGAGGAGCTTCTGTGTGAAGCATTCCTCAGGGGGATCAGCAGTCCTTTTTTTAACCCGGGCCCTCTCTGTGATGTCATGGAGGTAAAAACAATCTTAGAACACATTATAGCTATTGTCTGGTGAAGATGAAGCCTCTGGAAGCAATGGCCAACTTTTCAGGGCTTCCAGTGTATGAAGAGATACGGCCAATTACTTCATTTTCCGTGCATTGTTTCGTCTACAGTCTGACTCGCAACTTGAGAAATGAGAGAAGGGTTCAAGGTTAAAGAAAATGTTTATAGCTGTGCACTTGCACGCAGAAATCTGTTAATAAAGAATGATTTTAAGGAGATCTATCATGCTGATCCATATTGAAGTCCCTCAAGATTTTACTGATCTCGGTAAAACTTATTTTCTTTTGATGCCCCAAATGATTGGAAGGCTCTCCAGCAAACTCTATAAAGATCAGAGTTCTTCCCTCTCCCGCAGAGTTTAGGGATTGTTAGTGTTTTAATGATCTCAGGGATCTCAGTTTGTAATTGATGAGAAGTGTTTGTTTGTTTTTGCCTGTTTTACTGTGACTTGTAATCTCGACGGCATTGTATACGAAGGAAACCTCAATGTCATTTGAGAATAAATAAAGGTTTGATTGAGTGATTGATTCAAACACATATATAAAATGTATATTTGTGTAATGCCCAGACGTGGTGTCCTGCTGCTCTGAACGAAATGTTACTAGAACTTCACAAGACTTGGGCAGAACCAGACGTTAGCTTCGGCCGAAGTAAAAGAGCAAAGCTGCTTCATGTCCACCTGGCAGCTCACAGAAATCTCACTAAAATTTCCCTGCGACTGCAAACAGAGCAGGCCAATCGGAGGACAGTGGGCACATTGAAGGGGGGGAGGGGTTTACTGACGCCAGTATAAGATGAATAAGGACATTTTTGAGCTACACATCTCGCAACACTACTCATGAGTGTATCAGACTGACATATTAATGGTGCAAGTGAGTATAATAGATCTCCTTTAACCTCATCTGACTTCTTTTCTGCATACAGGCGATGGCTACTGAAATGCAAAAATAAAATGTGAAAAACAGGAATCATTCTTCTCCCAAAACCACGTCATTTGCATACAAATTCTGCATCGTCTTAAAGTTTATTTTGAAGGCATTCCCCCTTTTTTGTGATTGTATAGCTTGAGAGAGACAGGAGGTGTAGGAAAAAGAAAGAGAAATATGCACCACACAGCGACAGGACTGATAGTCGAGGCTGACACAGGTGTGGTGATGACATCATCCCCTTAACTGAGCTAAGCCAGATTCTGCATTTATATTCATGTTCTGTTAATCAAATTGAGTTAAACATAAAACTACAAACATGTGTTCATCTCGGCAGATATTTTAGATTTAGTCCTAGTCTGTTGATTAAAATGTTTGTTAGTTTTAATCACATTTTAGTCATTTTTACCGTCATTTTGTTTTGTTATTATTTTGTAATCTTTTATTTTCTTTTTTTTAAACAAGCTGATTCCAAGATAAATAACAGGTGACAGCAGATATTTTAGTCAAGGTGAATCATGCCTCTCTCAGCAGAATTGATATTGATACCAGAGAAGACCGAGCTGGGTGTCCTGTTGACCATTGTTGTGAGCTGTCAGAGAGGCTGAGTCACATAATTACACACTCGACAACATGTCGCCTCCACCAGGAAGGTCCTGCTAAACATGTTGTCTATCAGCCACACATTATGGCCTTCAGGACAACATCAACCCACACCCTTCTCACAGTGCATACACACAATACATATTCAAACATTTTATTTTCCTTATTGTCTGAAATCAAACTTCTCCCAACTGAGCTAGCATCAGCTGTCAGAAACACTCCCGGCGGTTCCTGACTTCACCGCTCTCAAGGATCTCCTGCTGAGTGTTTAAGTGTCATTTAAAGGTTGAACCTTTAAACCGGCTCAGACACAGCTGTGACACACACTGCTGCCGTGAGTGATCAAATTTACATAGCAGAGAGCCTCCTCCATCACTTTACATCACCTGTCTATGGAGCCTTCACGTCTTGGCCAATTAAATCTGAAGCAAGAGTTTCTCCACCTGCCAGCCTCCAGTGCCTATGTACAGTTCACAATCACATACTAACAGATGGCACACTGGAGAACACTTCTGCAAAGCCCCTGCTGAGACAGCTTTTCAAGACCTCTATATGCACAAGCACACAACACCTGGTGAGCTGACTGAACGGAGCAACTGCAATAAACCCCGGAAAGAAAAACAAGACCTATATATTTAAAGATCCGAGCGACAAAATGAATCAAAATCCCTCATGGTATCTTTCTTGTTGTCTCTTGTTAATTCTGTAAATCACAGCATAACGAGTTATGGTTTCATGCCATAAAAAAAGTGTTTTAAATTGCACTGCATGCTAAACATTTGCTTTTTATTAAAGGAGATTTTTACAAAGAAAACATAAAAGCAATGTGCGAGGAAAGGATATGTTTCTCATTTCTTCTGCAGCATTGTAGTTGATGAAGTGGATATCATAAATCTCGCCCCTTCTTGATTTGAGTTTTTTGAGCCCAGCGGTGTTTTAAAGAATGACTATATTTTCAACTGTGAGTGCAGCGTAAATACAACAACCTTTTTGAGCTTAGGATGCCGAGCCCTGAAAACGCTGAGCATCATTAGCTTTGTAAAGAAACAGGAGCTGCCAATGCCAGAAAATGTCATTCGTGAACATTGCAGGCCCTTGTGCAGAAATGCAAAGCTTATTTGACTCAATACAGCAGAGCAGTGCATTGTGTGACCGGGTGTACTTTTCCACTGTGACAAAACATGAATAAGAGACAACCCTGCAGAACCCTGCTGGATGACCCTGAACATGATGCTGCTGCTTTTAAGAGCTCTCCATATGTGAACAACCAGATCATGAGAATGTCCTGAAGTGCACTTGAAAACAAGCTTTAGTGCTATGGATCCATATCGTATACAAAAACGTTTACAGACAGTCTTCTTATGATGAATGTAAAAATATCTTTAAGTATCCCTAAGAATACCAGATATCAGATTCATCAAAAAGATGGCAGAGCTTGCAAATGTCATCATCAGATTTTCAGACAAGTAAGAGATATAAAGCTTAGTGACTGTATCAGAAAACGACAGGCCCTTATCTGAAGAGTTTTAAACTATGATGCGGTTATTTATGTGAAGGGAAAACATGCTTACTGGTACATCATAGATGCTAAAGTAACATAGTTTGGATCTTAAATGCAAGGCTACTTTTATTTTAAAAAAGAGAAAAAGGGAAGAAAAAAAAATGCATTCCTGTAACCCCATTGGACAGAAAAACAGCCACAGAACACCATCTCCAGAGGAGAGAATAGATCTAAGAGTGAAAGAGTTCAATCTCCTATAGATTAAATATGTTCAGTATAGACTTTATTATATTTGTTATACACAGCTTTCCTATGAATTAAGTTCATATGCAACTAATTAGCATTCATAATTTATGTTCAGTAGGATGTAATGCGAGTTAAAACAATGCAAAGAAAAGTAGGAATGCGGAGGTCTCTGTAGGGGTCTGACACACAAAGGTGTTATAGAAATACACCAACAGCATTTCATCCTCTTACATTCTCCTCGTATGAGCCTCACCTTGTGTCTCTAGTGCCCACTTTGAAACTATAGTGACTCATTTAGACATCTACAGATGTGACATCAGGTCCAGCTGTGCAGATATAAAAAGATGACCAGCTGGAACATCTGCACCCACAATCTACTGTCTACTTATCTACGTCAGATCTTCAGAGAAAAATCAGTGTGATATCCATGTTTGATCTGACATGACATGACAGCCTGTTAAAAAAGCATCTGTGTGCTTCATTCATACAGACACAAGTCACATGACGAGAAGTAGCTATGAGTCAAAGTGATTATGATTCTCAGATACAAACATTTAAACTGCTCAATGTTATACTTTTTAATTTTGTACAACACTGATCCACATATTTTCATACCTCCTATTTAGACTCTGGATGCAGCTTGCAAAAAGCTGTAGTCAAAGTTTGCTGAAAACCCAAGTGTCTGCTAACCCCTTAATCTTCTCCATCTTTAGTGTTATGATTTGGTCTTTTTTTAGTTTTGTTTTTCAGTGTTTAGTGTTTCTTCTTGTTCCAGTGTGTTTTGTTCATTCTTGAGTTCTGTGTGTTTTTAGTGTTTCATGATTTAGTTTGTAGTTGTCCTCTGTGTTTCTTGTATTCCTGTCTGTGTGTTTCCCAGTGTGATTGCCCTGATTGTCCTCACCTGTGTCTTGTTAGTCTCACCTGTGTTTGATTACCCCATGTCTATTTAGTCTCTGTGTTTCTTCCCTCCTGAGTCAGTTCATTGTATGTTGGATGTGTTTGTGGTATGTCAGTTAGTCGTCAGTTTGCTAGTGTCTCTTGTGCTTCCTCGTGGCTCTTCGTTTTTCCGTGTTTTGGCATTTTGATCTTTATTTTAAATAAATCCTTTCTTTTGGTTCTGCACTTGGGTCCACCTCCCGTGTTTTACTCACTGAACCGTAACATTTAGCCTGTTATATGTTTGGTTGTGGCTCCAAAATCTGAAGATGAAGACAATCAAAATGCAAAATACTTATCCACAATGGGTGACATCACAGTGGCTACGTCCACTTCTTACATGCAAACTAAGCTCCTGTTGTAAATCTGCAGCTGATGCAATCGGCATGTGTCGCATTCTACACAGTAAGTCATTAAGTTGGTGGGGCTTAGCAAAGGGGTCAATGTTCAACCAAGCGGCAACCTCCGACAATGAAAAATGAAACCAATATGCATTTGCATAAATTGCAGTTCATCGAGTGTCCACTTGAGGCTGTCTCCA